AGAGACAACAAAAGTCAAACAAAATACCATGAAAGTCATGTGCATTGTGCTTGTTCATGGATTGATTCCCCCTTCTGCTGCTCAATTTATTGCCAAATTTCTAAAATTAATTTTGAATTTTTCGCTAAATGTGTTGGGATTCTAGTAACTGTGACATGAATACGGTTTTGCTATGGAGTCGTCGGATGACTCGGCTTATAGAGTTATCCGTAGTTATCAAAAAAATGTGTATTGACACGTGTCCTGCAATAAATACACGTTAAACAAGTGTCAATGCATAAAATTATGAATGACTCCATAGCATTTATGGACCTAAATAATCCTTTTTAGACAATATTTCTATTAGAAACTTTATCGGATTTTGTATAGATTAATAAATTAATAATGCTTTGAGTTGATCGTGTGATTAGTCTATAAAAGAATGTTTTGCGTAATTGCGTGTATATATATTTACTTTCGGTGTATGTATATATATGATAGATTATATTATCGCGTGTTAAAACGTCCAAAGTATTTTTTTTTTAAAAAATAATTTACGAATAAGGTGCACTTGATAATTCAATAAGGAGCTGTTTAAGATACGGAATTTGAACTAGTAATTTCTAAACTTTGTAATTATAGTACATATATCATGCAACAAACGGGCTCTATACTTTGATAAATTGCATAATCATTGTAATATATAAAACATCAACAAGATTTCGATGAATTGGTTTGTGGCATGTGGGATCAACTGTAAAAACAATATCATGATTGTATTACAAACAAATATATAAATAACATGAAATTTTTCAAATCGAATCGGATTAGACAGTCCGATGGAGCTGGAATCAACTTAACGACAAAAAAACGTTGGCTAGCGAACCGGTTGGTACACAAAAGACCTGGGACCAACTGCAATCGTTCTGAACTCGAGCCTCCTAGTTGGTAGATCGCCTTCGAACTTGCAAAAATTCTCACACTAGAGGGATTTTTCGATGAAGAGTCTCCGATGTTTAAATGAGCACTTGTAGAAGACGAAGTGTAGAAAATAGTGTGTGAAAGAATAGAGAATGTAATGTGATAATAGGCATACATCACTCCCATGGAGGTGATACCTTTTTGCCCAAGACTGCCCCAACTGTCTGATAGTACAACCCGAGCTACCCGAACTGCCCAATTATGTTAGGCCATGTAACCTTACCCACGTTTTGCTCTTAACCCCTTGAGATTCTTTCTTATCTTTTAGTCTTTCTTATTAGACCGTCTAATATATGGTGCGACCAGCTTGATGTCCGCTGACGTAGAACGTTACCTACTGTAAGACCAAATGTTGTTCTTTCTGGTTGATCCTACGTCAAACCATGCCTACAAGTCGAGTTTCCAGCAGGTCAATCAAGGGCTCTAGCTCGACCTACTGCTGCCTTCCTATACCACTAGTGTTGTCTTCTACCCAAAGAGTTTTGGTCCTGCTCTAGCAATGTTCGACCACCGTCGGGCTTTCTGTTATCCTGCTCAACCAATCGACTCTCTTAGTCTGGTCAACCGGTTTCTTGGGTTTATTCCACCAGGGTCCAGTATCCATATCATCGGTCAACACCAGTCAGTCAGACTAGTAGAATCAGCATATTTTTTGAATAAATCTTGTTTTATTTAATATTATTTCTAAGCCACACGAGTCGTGTGTCCATGTCAAGAGCTCGTTTCGTATTAGTTCGGCGCGAACGACTCGTGTTGGTACTAGAGAGGTGAAACCGCTCCTAGACTTCATTTCAGCATGTTACTATGCTCCTAGATGGTTTTCCAGCGTCTCTCAGCCCCTGGAACGTTTTTGTCGGCATTCGGTCGTCGGAGATGGGAAATTCCAGCCAACTCCCAACAACAACTTTTCTCTGGCAAGAGTTCGAGCTCTAGATGGCTTCTCTGGGGAGATGATGGCAACGATAGTCAGCGAGATGTCCAGGACGGAAGGCGTCCGACGTCGAGCAGTTATGTGCAAATATGGCAGATAACACCTTCTTCTCCACGGCAGCAGACAAACGACGTGATCTCTAGGCGCGACGCAGTGGTCTGGTCAGGTCTTCGGTGGAGATTGGGTTTGGCGACGAATGGTGTTCCATGCATCCAGCAGCTGCGAGGCTCCGGAAGCGAGCTTGGTCAAGCAGCAGCAACTCAAAAATGGGGGACGGATGTCAGGTACAAGTATATAGAAGAAGACACACCATGCAGTGGAAAAGATCTCTTTTAGTTGTTTGAGTTGGGTAATTTCAAAATCCTTGATGTGCTAGTTGGATGGCCCAACAAAATAAATAAAATGGGCTTCACACACACTTCTTAGAGAAAATTACTTGTGGTACGATACAATTTTCTTTTATTTGTAAATTTACAAAACTAATTATTTATTTGCAATCTTACGAGATAGGACATATAATGCAAAATTAATTGATTTGTTTACCCTACAATTACGGATCTATCTTACCTTGTAGGGTGAGTGGACAGATTTTTTAGGATAAAGTTAGTATCAGAAGCCTATCTCTTTATTTATTTTTAATACTTTCGATTTCTTCTATTTTGGGAATAAGATTATTTCCTGAGCAATATTCCGATTTTGTTGAATATGAAGATTTCCACATATTCAAAATTTGATCTCACCAATTGTTTTGCTCAAACACCAAAAAAATACAAATATAGACGGTATATCAACAACAAATATACTTATGAATTTGGAACATACATTTGCAACCGAACAACAATAAATAAAATCACGTATATTTCCGGTATATAAAGCATAGATAAACATGTTCTCAGTTGTACTTGTACATATACATACAATATACACTCGAGTTTCTCAAAATTCAAACCAATAACAGATGGGGACACACATATACATAATATATACACTCGTGTTTTTCATTATTCAAACCAACGGCAGATCGAGACACACATATATTTAAAATATACATAAAATATACACTCGAGTTTCTCATAATTCAAACCAATTCCATATCGGGACACACATATACAAAAAATGTACATAAAATATTCTCTCGCGTTTCTCGTTATTCAAACCAACGGCAGATCGAGACACACATATACCTAAAATATACATACAATATACACTCGAGTTTTTCATAATTCCAACCATTGGCAGATCGGGACACACATATACATAAAATATACATAAAAATATACATTCGAATTTCTCGTGATTCCTATAAACTAGTAATAATCGTACAATAAACATTAAAATCTAAAAATTCTCATAAACCCCAACACAAAATTCTCACAAATTTACGATAGCACATCAAAAATTCAAGATTGCGGATAAAAAAAATCACGATCGTTGAGCCACCAACAATTCTTCTATCTTTCATGACATAGTAAATCGGCGTCCTCTTGGCCGTATTCCAAACAAGCCGATCGAACGCACCTCGTCTGTGGGCAACACAACCGCTTTCCCATTCTACAAAATAAAGTATTTGAAACTTCGTCTTCAACAATAATTTGAGGAGATTGATTTATATTAAATTTCCATGGGGAAATTGATGAGAGGATTGATTGAAATGAGCATAGAAATCCTAGAAGTCGAGGAGCCGAAATCGAAAATGGGTTGTTGTTGCGGTTATCCGGTGGGATTAGGGCTCGATTTTTTCAATCGAGAGGCGATGATGAATGCAATAGAACTCGTCGGTCGCTGCCGTTGGACCGAACCCCTGAATCGTCTAGGGTTCGGTAACTGCGCCGCTCCCAGGTCCCGTTGGCGTCGGTTGTAAGAACGTCCTCAGCTGAAGTCGTCGGTCTCTGCATCGTTCCAGGGAGCCCTACCGCTAGAATAACCTACGAGAATAAAGAGATGAAATTGGGATGAATGGAGAGAGCTCAGAGACGAAGGAAGAGGAAAGAAATCTGGGGAAGAAGAAAAATGAAAGAGAGAGGAAAGAGAGAGAGGTGTTATGTTTATCTAGAATTTTGATTAGGTAGATATGCAAATAAGATTTTAATGTCGTAATCTTATAATTATTTAACATCAAGAGCCGTATGTATGTAAATTGGCCCACTTCTTATGGGATGTGTACTTGGGCTTGTCCAAGTGCATGACTCACACTCTTTCCATGTTTGTTTCATACCGTTTCCATCTGAAAAATTAATTTGACCCTCTTTCTTGTTAATACTCAGAAAAAACACTATTGTCATAGTTAATAGAATTAAATAAATAAATAATAAATAAATATCAAAC